AAGAAGTAAAATAAGAGGATGGATAATAATAAATAAAATATGGCAATAATATAAAAGAAAAAACATAATTATAAATTATATAAAAGAATAATATTGAATATTATTATATAGGCTATAATAATAGTCTTTGGCTTTTGTTAATTAAATTTATGTATTTTCAACTTCTTAAATAGTAATAAAATGTATTTCATCAATGAATTCTTAATTATTTAAGAAGAATACATGGTTGATTTTCTTATCCCAAAACCATGTAAAAAACTCCAATAACTTTTATTTAACTTTTGGCAATATATTATAGGCAGTAATCAAAGCTCTCCTTTTGTACACATAGTCAATATTAATTTTTGTTAAGATTTATCATTACAGACATGTTTTCATGCATTTTAAATAATTAATTTTATTAGGGGCATGTGGTTTAATATTAATTTTATATTTTATAAAATTTTTAATTTATTTAGGGTGGGTTCAGTATTTAGTTTGATTAATCTGAGCTTATTAGCTTAATCAATTTTTGGAAAAAGCTAATTATTCTTTCAAAAACGATTTAAAAAATTAGTATATTTAAATTGAAATGCATAATATTTGGGAGAATCAATTTCAAATCCAATTATAAAAAGACCTCTAAGATATTGATATCATTCTATAGATATAAATAATTACATCCATTATTTTCAGCATATTAGTATACTTCAATTTCTCTACCTGGTTTATTTAATTTAGAATTGCTGATAATTTAAACATCTGGTAAATCATTTATATAATTTATTTCATTTAAATTGTTAGAATAATTAATTATTCTAAATAATACTTAGGTTTTATTTCAGATAATAATTCCTTAATAGTAAATATTTCTTGTTTCCAGAATTTAAATTATAATATATATGCCATTAGCATTTCCAAATGAACTAATAATAAGACTTATTAAATCAATTCCCTTCTGATATTTTTACAGAGTATAAACATAATTCCTATAGTTGAAATTGATTAGATTATTCTGCATGATGTTATCTATGTTTTTTAAATTCAAATATTGGAACCTATTACAACATTAATTTTTTAAAAACTAATTGCAAACTGCCAATAGCTTTTAATCTCTGGGTAATTAGATGATGATAGGATTAGCTAAATCTCCATAGAATTAAATTTTGAATGTCTTATAGTCAAATGAGGCTTAACAATATAATAATTTTAGTTCAAAATCTAATGTTTAAATTAAAAAGTTAAGACTTTGAAAGCCGTAAATGCGTTGTTAACAAATAATAACTTAATGGGTTCAGTTATAATTATTATTTTCTTTTTCAATCTGATTTTAAATACCCTTCTAGCCCATTTGCTAAAAAATGGCAACATCCTGATCCGTCCGTTTATTATTATTATCAAGAAAGAATCACAGCTGATAGATTTCTTATTCTTCAAGATCTAGAGTTAGGGTCCCATTACAGAAATGTGCCCTTTTTGTCTGTAGGTTTACAGTACATCAATGAAAACTAACTATTTCATGCCCAAGTGGATATTCAAGATACATCAATATCCAAAATTGGCAAACTTTTTGTATATTATTTTTTAAACCAATAAAATATTCATTCCACTTATTTGACCCAATTAAAGTGTCTTATCTGTTTTGAAGAACTTTGTTTTCCCAACCTATAAAGGAAGTGGCAAATGGTCACCCCAAGCCTATAACACATGGTATCTAGATCAGGAATCAGTCCTTCTTTTGATACAAACGAGATTAACGTAAAAAAACACTGAAGTCCTCAGAGGATGACTAACATTATATCTGTCTAATCTGAAAAACTCATACTTATGCCTTGTGTTAAGATAATTTTAAGTTTAATTTTACTTAAAAGTTTCAAAGTGCGTCATCATTTTGTAGTTTTTGCTTATATAGTGAAGGTAAATAACTACTGTTTGGCTGCATCAAAAGTAATGTGTTTCATTTAATCTCCTTCTCCCTACTAAAATACTGAATTTTGGACATATTCTCATAATAATAAGATTTGTCCAATAAAATGGTTTAGCAATTTTGTTTAATAACTTTTAGTAGTTATGTTTTGTTTTGAAAGAAATTATGATGTACATGGATACATATATTCTCTAAATAGAGAATTGATGCAATTTGAAAATTTAATTTCTGTTGAATCTAATTATGAAAGGATTTAGTTGATGAGGAAAGACTCTATAACTCATTTTTAACCTCAAATTCTAATTATCCATATTAGTACAATTATGGCTTTAAAATACCCAAAGACAACCCAAATACATTCTAAAAAGAGTTCTACTTTTAATTGTTATCATTTCTAAACCATACTCAAAATCTAATTCCATATTGTTTTATTGATTAGATTTAATATATGATAAAATATATGTTCTCAATTTTATTACACAAATATGAAAGTTAACAATTTTATAAAATAAAATAATTATTATATTTTGATTAACCAAATTATTGTTATTCTATTTCCAAAATATACAGGTTGTTAATTTATAAATAATTAATAAATCTCTTTATGTATCAATTCTTCTGGCTTTCTTATTTAACTATCAAAATTATATTACTTTATTTTCTTTTTAACTCAGAAATTCATCCTTAAAATTTTCACTCTTCAGTGTAAATTCTATGATCTAAATTGTCTTTACTGTTGCTCATTCCCCATTCCCTGAAAATAACATGGTTATATGTAGAAATTGAGAAAACATTGTCCCGAAGCAATCCAATTATATCCTAATACTCTCAATAAGAAAGATGGACATATGCTCTGTGATTATAAACATCAACAATGGAATTAAAAATATAAACATTTTTTTAAGATTATATTGTAATTAGATTTAAATTCATATTTAGAGATGTTTAACCAAAATATTTACAAAATTATATAATTTAGAACAAAAAAAAATAAATAAATTCTTTAAGTTGCTAATTGTATTTTTTGAAAAAATTATTTAATTAATTGCTCACAAATATTGAATTCCTTAAAATACCATGGTAATATGGCACAGACAATTCTTATGGTTGAGAAAACCAAAAGATAATAAACCGAAGGTAAGGTAATTAGTATTAATATTCATGCAAATTTTTTACATTCGGTGGCAAAAGTAATTAATAGTGAGTGGTTAATGAATGATTTTAATTAAGTTTTTTACAAAATTAAGAAAAATATAAGAAGTCAATTCTTGGGTTTGCGTTTGATCTTCCTTTCCAACATATAAAACATCTTTAATTTTTTGATCAGAAAATAATAGATTAGTTTTTTGTAATTACGTTTTCAAAATTAACTGAAAAATGAAATTAATAAAATATATCTACTTGTTTTAATTGATCAATAGTAAAAGAATAATAATAGAATAGATTAAATTGATAATTTAAATTTTGAAAATAATTCTAAGAACTTTAATATTTATTACTTTCTGTAATCTTCATTTGCATATCCTGCATTATGCTCATTCTAACTACAATTTTTAGCTTCATCTTTTTTCCCCTACGCTAGTAAATTATATTATTTTTATAATGAATTTAAAGTTTCAAATAAAAATATATTTTAAAGCTATGAATATCTTTATTTTTAAATAAAATAGCAGTTAGATCAAAGGTCAAAGCTTATCATTAGATTCTATTGTTTCTTATTATTGATTTTATTATAGTTATTTAATTGTACACTTAATTTTTATATAATGCTAATCATATTGATTATCATTTATTTGAAGCAATATCTTTTTATTGAATATATTATCATTCATTTGTAATATTTGATATCGATTGTCTCTTTCTTTTTTCCTATTATTTTACGAAATTTTTGAATTTATTTAATTTATCTATTAAATTTTTATAAATACATTATTTTACAAATTATCCAGAATAAATAAATAAAAGATTAACCTTCTTTTTCTATTATTCTAATTATCTTAAATCTAATTATGGAATTTGTTGATTATTAATTTAATTATTCATATGAAATTTATTCTTTCTTCAAATAAGCATATAAAATTAAAATCAATTAATAAATAAGTAGGTGTATATTAAATATTGCATAACAGTTTAATAAGGATAGTAAAATTCAAAAGTTGTTAAGGTGCCTTGTTCATCAAATGTATTTCATCTTGCTGAATCAATTATAAGAAAATCCTTTTGCCAAATTCTTCTCAATATCTTGGTGTTTTCAGAATTACACAAAAATTTTAATAACACTATGATAAGTAAATATAATGATTTGAAAACAGAAAATTCAAACTAATTTAATATAATTTCTTAAAAGTTATTTAATAATTATTATATATCAATCTCATTATAAAAGAAATATTTTAATGATGTGATAATATTTTAATTCTAATAATTATTTTAATACGATAAGGAAATTTTCAATAGATATGATTTTTGTATAACTAATGAAAAAAAAGTAAGCAATTTATTACACTTTGAAAGCCACAGATTGAATTTCTCTTTTAGAATCAAAATTAATTTCATTATTATTTTATATTAAATTCGTTCAGATGTGAGATGAGCAAAGAATTGATGAATCAATCTATCTAGTTCTGGCAATTCTTACACTATTCTTTTATACACATAATTTTTTAATTAATTCCAGATTTTCTCTATTGAGTTCATCTAAGGAGAGTTTTGTGGTAAAAATTAGTAATACACAGCACCTTATAACTGCTTTACTCTTTTATTGTAGTAGATTATAAGAGAAAGAGATGAATTTAATATAAAGTAATAATGAAATTAATTATGAGTTTTGATTCTAAAAGAGAAATTCAATCTGTGGCTTTCAAAGTATAATAAATTGCTTACTTTTCTTTCACTAGTAATAACTATATTGACTTCGTGATCTTGTACTTCAAAACAACTCTGGAAGAAACTAGATCTCCAAAAATTTACATTGAAATTGATAGTATTAAATTATGCTGATTTTATTAAGAGATGCTTTATTGAATATCATGCTTAATATTCTACAAGCTTAGAAGCATATAATCAAACAATTTCTTTCGATTTTAATAATCTCATGGAATAAAAACTTCATTACTTTGTAAAGCTTGATGATTTCTTTTTTCATGAATATTAATTTATGAAAAATAAAAAAGAAAAAATTGCAGCTATTGATTACTGCAATCAGTTGAAAAACGGACTAATGCTTATAGTAAATTTTCTATATCATTTTGAAATTATTTTATTTTTAAATAAAATTAGGAGTATAAATAAAAGGAAATTTATTTAAAAGCAGATAAGAAATAGCTAAACTGTTTCTTATTATGCCAAAATCATAACCTAGTAAAAATGTAAATAAAATATCAATCACTTTGAGTGAAATTTAAGATACATATATGATGATTATTCGTGTAATAAAGTATGAGAGAATTCTATTTCCAAAATCGTCTGAAACTTATATTTAATTTATGGAAGAGGATGTTACATTTATTAGATATTATCATGATGATAGTTAATTATTGGAAAATTAAGCATATTTTCTTAAATCTATTCTTCAACTCCCCTAACTTGGTATTAGGCCTTGAATCAAATTAATTTGCAATATTATCTGTAATATCTGATAGATTTTATTGTAAAAAAATGAAATTGTGATGGATTACTTAATAAGATTTAAATTAAACCATATTTTTTGAAATGGTTTTTATTGTACTAATATCATAAAAAGTTATTTTTATGATGTAATGCATTCATACTTATTTAAACTTTCAATGCAAAATGATATATATTTTATAATTGTAACATGAATATTTAAATATCCACAAATATTAATTAAATAATTAAGTAAATTTTTTTACTTTTAAATATATGGAATAATCTCATTTTTTTTCTTTTATGTGTAAAAAAATTTATCTGCACACTATATATAATTGACCTTAACACGTTTTAACTTCTTTAATTTTAAGTACATTTAAGTATTGAATCATTAATTAGATTAATGGCTTTTATTAAAGATTATTAAAGTTAATTTAATAATTGTCTAAAGATTATTGAATAGAATAAATCATATGTTTTATTTTTATCACATAAAAAAGTAACAATTGAAATAAGAAACAATGAATCTAAATAATAATATTTAGATAATAAACTATTTTAATATAAAAATTTAAATTGAGACATATTCTTCACAAATTCATTAATGCAATATTTCTGATTTATAAAAATAGGCAGAAAAAAGAATATATCCGCAACTAGAGAATAAAATGAGATAGACTAACTTGTGATTTATAAATTTTATTAATATGGAAACTTTATTAGGTAAGTTTAAATCAATTTAGATTTACGATTAAAATATATTTTCGATTCGAACCCAGTTATAAATTTTGGAAATAAAAAATTTCATGTATAAGAATAGATAATCAGTCTATTATTAATGGATAAATAATAAACGAAGGCAGCATCAAGAATAAACCAAAAAGGTTATTTATTATGGCAATTATAATGGTTTGAAAAGATTTTCTAACTTAATAATTCAAATTAGATTTAATATTTAGGATTTTATTTTTGATCTAAAAACTAAAGTTCGATAACGAATTCTAATTTTAGTGTAATTGATATATTGATAATTAAAATATAAAGTAATCTCTATTTACAATTAAGATTATAATTATCTTTTATTTCAAAAACCAATAAACTAAAATCAAATGGACTTTTAACAGAGTTCAAACATTAAGTCTGGCTATTTTCCACTAACATAATTATTTTAATTTTTGAAATAAATAATTATTTTTACATCTGATGTTAAATCATAATTTCTATATTTAGTCTAAATTTTTTCTAATTTTAATTTTTTCATATATTAGAATAAAATCAATTTGTTATTAGATATGATTTAAAATTATATACATAGATATAAATGAGAATATCTTCATTTTAGATATATTTAGATTAGAGTTCATCAGAATTATGGATTCAAATTTTAATTGAATATATTATACTTTGTAAAGACAATAATGATATTTGTAAATATAAAAAAAAATAAAAAATAATTTAATCAATTTATATTAAAATAAAAGAATTTATAAATTTGTTTTAACATACATTGAATGATTAATTAAAACTATATTTTCATTCAAAAAATATAATATTGAATTAATCATAGATCATCATTAAATTTAATTAATTTTTATATTCCTATAAAAAAGCCATCATATTATTTTTTACTTCTTACATCGACAAACCAAAAATTCCTTTAATTGTTAATGATTTAAAAACTGTTAGATAAGAAGAAATAGCTGAAATTTAGTATTCTTTTATTATGAGATTTCTGTACATTTTTAGGTATAAATATGAACAATAAATAAGAGTCACTTTACAGAATTACAAAGAATTAATATATTTTCCTATAATTCAAACAGAATAAATACTATCTTTTTTTACATTTATATATCAATAATTCAAACTGTTAAGATTAAGGATTCCAACTTTTTCTATAATTTCAGTGATATATGTAATAACAATAATAATCAATTAGATGTATTCAAACAATTTAGCATATTATAAAAAAATTAAATACATTGTTATTTTGATTCTAACATTAATATGACTAGAAGGAAAAAAGATAAGACTTTATGAAATTTTATAATAAATTATAGAATTCATATATTATCTGGCTAATTAAGTTGGGTTAGGGATAGAATTCAAAATCTAGATTTCTATAAATATAAATAATTATGCAGTAATGTTACAAAATTGCGGATGTTAAATTAGTCAATTTCTATTGTTACCAAAGAAAAATTTTAAAACAGAATTATTTACTTAACACTATCAAATTATTGATCTATATCTTAATTAAACTTTATTTGTTAAGAATTGATTGTTTATTAAATTATTATATATAAATTTAATATCATATTACTTTCCATTCTGCACTACTAGGGCCGAGGCTGAGGGTGATTTACAAGATGGATATGTAACAAACTCTATGTCGAGGCTTGATTCACCTAGGGTTCGAAAGAGTAATGTCCTAGGGGGTCTTGTACAGCATAGGGGGTGGTTATGTTCCATTGAGTAAATCAAAGTAGGCGGAGGTGGGATAAGCTTGGGGGACGTTATGAAACCTGAGCTCCCTTAAAAGCTAGATGGTGAGAAATGAGGGTCCTAAGTAAAGGCTCTTGGGAGACATTTGAATGGTCGGAGATGACTGACATCGAACTTTTTTGAACGGACTGTATACTTTTAATAGCCTTTCAGTTTCTGTGCTGAATTTCTTCTAATTACTTATCCACATTTAAATAGTCTAATATTCGGTTTATGGGTTTTCAGCAATACAATCCACGCATAAAAACCTATCTTCAACTTTCTTATTCTATGAATCCATACCAATCATATTAATTTCTTTTAATGATAACTGCAGAGTCTATTTATGATTGGTGTTTTCTAATATATCTAATCATTTTTAGTAATTGATGTAGGAATTAATTCAAAATTACCCTAGTTTCCATAATATCTTTAATAGTTTCTTTTGTATTTTTAAAAGTATATAGATTTGACATTTTTCTAAAGTCATTTAAAAATTTTTTAGAAAATTCTTATTATTCATAGAGGAAACAATAAATTTTTTTGAAATACATAATTAAACCTTAGATTATTAGATTCTTTCTTTTATTATTCAATCGTGGCTAATTTATTATTATTTATTTTCTCTCCTAAACATCTACCGAAAAAGAATTAAACTTGTGCCTTATCTGATAAGTCTAAATCAACTGCAGTCAATTCTTGATTATGAATCTTGCATATTATTTCTGATGCTTCCTGTACTCATTTTATTTTAAGATATTCATATTTTTTATTTAAATTAATTAATGTAATTATTGATCATTTAATCACCCTTCATTTTCATAATTGCATTCTAATTCTATCATCCAATATATATAAGTATAAAGATATTTTAAAAATATATTATAAACTTTAAAATAAAGAGGACTATAGAAAAAGAGATCATTAAAATATTAATATTTAAATATTATCTAATCTCCAAACACTAAAAATGACTCAAAAGCTCAATTAATTGCTTACTTTTTAAAAGTTAAAGTTTTTCCTATATTACCTATATAACCAGTAGGATTACTTGGAATATAATTATTGGAATTCAAATCAATAAACATTTTTAGGAAGGTGACTAAATAATTTAAGAGAGACAAAGTTGAAGCATTGGATAAAGTATTAGGGTTTATGTTTATAATTAGCATGTAATAAGAATATTGGAGAATTTTGATAATTTATACCATTAATATCTATATATATGATACAGATATGGTACAGAATTATTGCCTATTGATATTCATACTCAAATGATATTCCAACTTGTATTGTTAAAATCTTCATAATCTAAATGTTATAAGCGTTTTATAATGCTTATCAAAATAATTAGATACATTAAGCTTTAAAATTTTCAAATAATGCTGATCCATTTCCTTTTTTTTGATCAGAGACTTCAGGTTGGCAATTGTATAATATGAAGCTCATAAATATGGAATGTGTACAATCTAAATTAAGATTAAAAGCGACTTTTTCTTACCAGTTGCCTTGACAAAAAATCCATATTTGTTATAGTATTTTTATAAAATTAAATTTCTTTTAGTAAACAAAATAACAAAAGGTCTTCCCAATACATCTAAAGTACTGCAAAAAGGTCATACAGTAAGAGAAGAAAATATTCTTTTAAATTCTAGTCTTTCGTGAGCCCAGATAATAAATCCATTAAAGTTTGTAATTTAGAGAACAATGAAATATGATCTCTAGAATCAACAACTTTCACTTCTATTTTCTGCTTTTAAAGATGCTTTTTAAATAAATCTGCCTGTGTACAAACCCTCAACTAGATCACGTGATCTCAAAAATGTTGATTTTTAGAGTATTTAAGCTATATCTAATAAAATGACTTTACAGTAAAAGAATAAATGCTCTCACTATCAATTTTTGAATCATTAATCATCTCTTAAATTTGACAGTCATTTCTAATTTTTTAATCTATTTGGTTATGTCTAATCTTGTCTACAAAGAATTCAAGAGGATTTAAAAAAAAAAAGTTAAAACAAAAAAACAAAAGCAGAGAAAATATTAATTTAAATGTTATTTATATATATTTTTGTAATCTAAACTTAGGTAAAAATTAGCAGATTATATCGAAATTTATTTTGTTGTAATTAATATATAATAATTAAATATGATTAGAATGAAATAATGACACACTTATTATCTTTCATTAGTACATTTGCTATTATTTATCGCTCCTTTTTTGTAGAAAATTTATTAACTTAGAGTATGCTCTTTTATCTCATGTCCTCTATTTCTCATTCTAGATATTTAGGCATGTTTGAGCTTTATTCTATTAAATACCATAAATCATTTGTAAACCTTTAATTTCACATAATAATTATTACTTCTTAATTAAAGAAGGGAAGCTATAATCTGATCATGTATTACAGAGCCTTATTGATTTCTTTGTAATTATTTTTAAATATATTCTAGTTCTTTCATTGAGTCATACTGTGTTTCATAAGGAAAATACTCACCTTCTATTTAATTTTATGACCTCAATTAGTTTTCATTGGAACAAATTACAAGGATCGCTAATTTATAATTCAAATGAGAAGTAGGGTATAAGAGAGATAATTAAACAAAAGCCTCTGTAGCTGCAAATTAATCAGAATCTTTAGAAATAACTATAGCCATTCAATGGTTTATTTTTTCAGAGGAAAATATCTACAAACTTATCAAAAATCTCTAAAATGCTAAGAAATCCTATAACTTAATCTTAGATGGAATCCGTAAATTATTTAAAAGCTGTTTGATCTACATTAGAACAGATTAGTTTAAATGCTTATATATCTTATAAATTACAGCCTCTCTATCTAAAGTTATATTTTGCTTATAACAAATGACTAAAGATTATGAAATGTGAATTATAAAAGGAATTTTTAGATATTTCAGATGAATTAAAATAATAAATGGAAATAGAGAAAAATGATCTGATTCATATTTAAATGGAGCTTTACCTTTTCTTAACGAACACTTATTTCGAGATGGTAATAGTGACGAAACGGATGACATTTTAAAAGGATGTTTAAGTGGTATAATTGCCTCGATAATGCAAATGAAACCTAATGAAGAATTACTTGAATCATTGTTTAAAGGAGCCCTTCTAGTATACAAAATGTATGCAGTTTCAAAAAATAGATATGTTGTATTGAAAGATTTATAAGTTATTTTTAAAATGAAAAAGAAAAAAATTTAGAAAAAATAATTGAAAAAATTCAGATAATTCATGAATAGCTTGTGAAAAATTCAATTAATTGAAAGTCTCATTATTTGGGATTTAAATGTTTGGGAAAATTTTTATATATAATCCTCTTTTAACAAAATAGCAATTATATCGGCTAACTAGTTAATTCAATTTAGGAGCCAATTCAAGGTAAATGTGGAATGAATATCAAAACAAAGGATTGCTAATTTAAATGAACCATAGCAACGACCAAGCTCTCATTCTACTTCACTAACTTTAAAATAAAGAATTACTTTAACTTGCAGAGTTCTATCAGAAGATTGTTTCAAAGAATGGAAAAACTTCTTATTACTCAAAGACTACTTTTTAAAAGAAAAAAATCCAAATATCTATTTCACATTTTAATCATATTTACAAAACAAATTGAAAGGAGCGAGTATAGAATCCTAAAAAATGAAAATAGTTTGATTGGAAAAATCTTGACATTTTTTGATTTCATTATTTCAAATAAATTACTAGGTTTAATTAAAGAAAATTATGAGAAATTAGGTGTCTCACTTAACTGAGAAGATGTAATAAAATATATCATGTCTAAATAAATTAGATGATTCAGAGCTTCAAATAATATTTACAAAATATTCAAAAAATCATTAAAATCATTAGGTTTAATTTATGGGGATAATATTTTTAGATCTAATAATTTAACTAGAAACAGATTATTCAATTCAATAATTTATAAAAACTTAAATATTTGATGAAAATGTTAGAAAAAATATTATAATTGTTAATTTAAGATTTTAAGAATAAGATAAATGAATAATAAAAAAATTAATCATCAAATCAAAAGGATGAAACAGATGAAAGGGAAGAGCTTTGGAGGTAGAAAGAATTTGTTTAAGATTAATTAAGTAAACTTGAGTTGGAAATTAAAATTTCGTAACTTGATGATTTGAAGAAGAAACTATTGGCTTTGCCAGATGCTACTCTAAACTAACCAAAATTTTAGGAAGCAGCTTAAATTCTGATACAATAATACAGGTTTCATCAAATTGTTTTACAGATAAGATTATTTCATTTTGTTAGAAAACTTTAATCTAATTATGGTTCGGAGAAAGATTTAAGAGTAAGAAATTATTAAAAAATGAGAAGTTAATTAATGTGTAAATGTAGATTTTGAAGGGTTTGGGTTTGGGTTTGGGTTTGGGGTTGGGTTTGGGTTTGGGTTTGGGTTTGGGGTTGGGGTTGGGGTTGGGGTTGGG